TACATCATTTGATAGATGAAAACCTTGACTTTCTATTGGTTATAGGTAATATATATTGAAACGTAACAGAGAACTATCAACGAATTGTGAAAGAGAGGATGTGAGAGGTGGGTGTGGCACGAGGGGTCTGATTTTCTAATCGATAGTTCTGTAACCAAACAAAATTGAAGGCTATAAAAATTATGATTTGTTTCAGCAATAACAATTTTATAGAGAGTATGTTACATTTAATTTCTTACATTTTCGAGGGGTGATGGATAAAATAGGGATGATGACATGCTAAGACAAAATGTGTTACGTTGGTCACACTAGTGGAAATTCAGGATTTTTTAAATATTGCCTTGTAGAATTAAGAACTTAAAACTTGTATACTATTAAAATGTGGATTATTAGCTAAGATTTTATGCTACTGTAATTGGTATAATATAAAAAAAGTAGTTTAATACAATTTTGACTATAAAACACTAAAACCTTTTTCATGCGCAGTAAAGGGTACCTGGTGTGAGAGGGCTCTAATTTGTCGGGAGTTGACCACTTTAATGCTACTATCAGAACACACTGATGTGTGTCCTCCTGAATATGGTTGTTTGTCACGTGTTGTTTCGGGGGACTTGCCTAGACCTTTTTCCACTTTGGAGGATTTTTTTTTTCAGGAATGTTATGTTCTGTACTTATGTCCCATTTTCCTATGTTCCATCCCTGCCCTACAATGTTCTGATCCCACCACCTCCTTTGTCAGGTCAGGGCTTTCTGAGGGTATATGACACATATTGCTCCTTTCCATTCATGGTTCCAGAGTCTTCCTGTTTTTTCCATGAAATCCTCACCTCTCCTGTGACGTTTTCCCATCACCCTTTTGGGTTGTATCCACCAGTTCATTCGCCTGGCATTTTCTTTCCATCAGATCCATCACTTACTACGTCCATTAGTGCACATTTCAATCTTTCCTTGGAGAACATCCTCAGTGCTGTAACTGTTTATTTGTGGTGGTAAGTTCATTTCTTTTTTTTTTTGAAAAGGCTTTTATTGCATATTTGGATCCCACTCTGTGGCAAGTGTTGCCTGACCAGGTATACTTAGTCTTAAATCAGCACTGTACAACTTGTGAATATGCTAGATGACTGTGACTTTGAAATGAATTAACATAAAAAACATGCAGTTTGCCCCTATGGCTGAGACTTTCATCCCTCCTACCATCCTCTGGATGTTGCTTCTTAGGTATCAGGTGTAGATCAGAGACAGTTCAGCCGTACAAGTCTTCACATGTGATTGACTGGTACCCTCCTCCTACTGCAGACTATAAGATAAATTCCCAGTGCTGCCAGGTTTTAAACTGGAGATGCAACCTCAAAATTCTGGCCACTCTTTCTACCATCCATCCACTGGATGTCAGTTCCCAGTGGATCTGTTGTTGGTTGTAGGTGAATGAGACACATGACTTCCCACTTGTGTCAGTCTGGGTACCTTCCTCTTACTGCAGACTGGATGACCAAATTCCCAATGTCACCACGTTTTGAACCAGAAATAAACACCCAGGTGAGGTTGAACTCTCATTTATGATCTGCTCCACTACGCCAGGTGGTCCCATTATTTCTGTATTTTTTAGAGACCCTCCGAGTTCCCATCCTTTACGTTTTGGCGACGTATTACTAAAACATGAAGAGTATACCTGGCTCAGAAGTGGTGCAGTCTGCCACTGGAATGTTGTTTTTAATTCCTTATCATAGTCTTTCTTTGGGCACTTCTTAAGGGGGGGGGGGATTGTCTTCTCATTGGCTCTCCAACAGTTGAGTTTTGGATTCTAGGTTTTTGTGAGAGGAGGTAAGATGTCATTTTGGAAGTTACCAGTTTCCTATACTTTCCACACTTTTGGTGTGAATTGGTTTGGTTAGCTATGACCAATTTCAAAATGATTAACACTTGCATGATTAGAGATGGTGTTAGTTATGATAGATATAATGTCTTGCTCCTGTTGGTGAAGGGTTGTTGCATGATCATTTGCATGTTAGTATACGGTAATAAGTGGATGTAACATGGCTAGTGTTGAGCAAAAGTTTGAACTGACAGAGGGCAGTACAAGTCAAGAAAGCTTTTTGTGAGAGGAGTTAAGTGTCTATAGGAAATACATTTTCAGTTTTTCGGGAAATGTTAACTTACATTTTGCGAAATATAATAGCTATTTAGAGATTGTGATTGTTACATTTTGCAAACTGTAAAGCCTGTTTACAGAGATTATAATTGTTACATTTTATGAACTGTAATGCTTATTTATTGAGATTGTGATTATTACATACTGCAAATTATAATGCCTGTTTACAGAAATTTTAATTGTTACATTTTGCAAACTGTAATGCCTGTTTACAGAGATTATAATTGTTACATTTTATGAACTATAATGCTTATTTATTGAGATTGTGATTATTATATATTGCAAATTATAATGCCTGTTTACAGAAATTTTAATTGTTACATTTTGTGCAAGTACAATGTATATTATTTATGGTTCTTGTGATTATGGATCATTATATTATGTTTGCAGACAACAAGCCTAAAACCAAACCAGTTCCAAGTCCCACACCATCCAGTAGTGGTAATTCCTCTCCTTCTACCCACTGTATATCATCTTTTGGCCATGATGTGATGGCCTTGCAGCAAGAAGTGGACAACTTAAAAAAAGAGTTGAAGATGTTTAAAGACACAAGTGTCAACAAGGATAATTACAATGAACTGCAAAAGCAAGTAAGAGAAAACTTATTTTACTGGTTGAAAAATTAATGATTTGTTGTAATTAAAGTATTTATAGGAACAAACAGAGTATTTTTAACAGAGACTCAAATCTTTATTGCTCTCTGCTTTCAAAAACTTTATTTTGTTTCTTGAAATATTGGGTGATCATGGGTGTTTGCAAATTCTGTAAACTTCTCAAACACATTTATGGTAATTTGATAAAACATTAACTTGACAGAGATAAGAAAACACTATATAATCACATTTACTTTGTGACAACTTGTACATAATCAAGACAGTAGCTGTCCTAGGGAAATGCATGATACATTTCCCTTTATATGAAGTTTGACAGTGTGACACATTTAAAAAATAATTGCCACATCTGTGACAAGTTGTAGTAAATCAGGTTACCACTTTGGACTCTGGTATTTTTGAAGTGGATGATTAGTTTGCATTTTGTAATAGTGTACATAGTACTTTTTCATAGATATATTATAATATTGTGACTGACTTTTCCTTTCATTTCACTATAGGGGAGGATCTTAGAAAGTCTGGTATGGTCATTTTTAAGCTATCAATTGCCAGTTATCAGGGATTCTTCAGTATTTTAGGTAAAGGAATTAATCTTAATTATGTAGTTATATATTATGTGAAGTGAAGATTTTAAGCTCAACTTATGATGTACTTACCAGGTTGAAAATCTTAAGGATCTGACAGAAACCCAAAAGAACCATTACAGTACACTTATCATGGACCTAAAAAAGGAGATAGATGAGGAGAAAAAAATTCGCATGGCACTACAAGTGGAGCTTGAGAGAATAAAGAAATTGACATCTACTGTATAACACTGAAATTAATTCATTGTAATCCAAAATTGTGTCCTTACAGGAAGCGATGTTGCCTTATTCAAATCATTCATAATATTGGAAATTATTTTTTAATTGGTCTGCACTCATCCTTATTCTCAAACTTGTAGAAAGTTGACTAATGTGTAGAACACTTGAGAAGAAAGAATGACATTAATATAATAAAAGAAAATAAATAACAATTATTATTAAAGATAATTATTTTCCTCAGAATTTTAAGACTTTATGTGTTAAAATGGTTCAATACAATATTACAATCAGAAATTTCATGCAAGGATATTAAAGGCCTAGGATCTTTTAGCTTAAACCAAATTTCAATGTTAACAATGTTTTTAAGCCACCTTCCAATATGTGATTGACCTTTTTCTTAAAAGATGAAAAAATGAAAGGATATTAGCAGTTGTTCGGCCACATTCACAACTTCACGTTTTACACATACTAGATGTGAAAATAAAGAATAAATTAAAGCTTAAATATCAGTTGCTAAAAACATTTTAATAGAATCACAGCAACTGCAGCCTTCACTGTTGGTGACAAGAGTTGTTTATGTTCTATAATAAATTAAATATATAATATAACATTAATAATTTATCTTCATGTATACTTTATATAAACTGTGACTCAGAATATTTATCTGATTGTAAAAGATGTAAATGAAAGCTATAAAATGTTAATTTTCTTATAAAAGGAAAAATCCAAATAAAATGAACTTAATCTTCAGAGTAACTGTAGTGGAAGAATGTTATTGAAGATGTTGACAGCTATTAAGCATCATTATTGTACAGACAGGGGCTATGTTAATTTGTTGTTGATATGTGCTAATTTACAGTCTGGTAACAAACAGCATGTTTAGTACTATGTAATATGTGCAGTGTGAGAGGTATAGAAAACATGGTATGCATGGCTATGTTTATTAAGTGATTGAAAACTGTTGATGTAAAATTTAACAAGTTCCATATGTTTTACACATCTTTAAAACTTTCAAGGAAACAGAGTCTGAAATTCATTGCATGAAAACTACTACTTTTCTTGTTTATAAAGCTGAGAAACCTCAACTAATCTTATCAAAGAAATTTCAGTAAGAGAGAAATTTTAGTAAGTGATCTACAGTTTCTTATTTTAGCTTGACTGAAATGATTGAAAATTTATATTTCATTATTATATATTTAAAAAAATCTTATTTAAGCCAAGCTACACAATTTCAATTAAATTAAAATGTGTATACCTTTAAAACCAAGTAGAATACTTAACTTTTTTATGAAACAAAATAAATTAGTTAGTAACTAATTATTGAACCTAAACTATCAAACACTTAAAATGTAACCAGCTTGGAATTGTTTTAATGTTCATCTGAACTTCTTAGCTTAGATATCAAAACCGACTTTCATCTAAGACCTTGATAAGAGAAGTGAAGCATACATTACATCTGAAAAAGTATGATAAAATGCATTGTAGCATGAAAATTAGATGCAGTGTATAATTTTCACTTTACTGAGTGTGGTCCCATCCTTTCGTTTCACTATTGTTGAAAGTTCCATACAATTCAATCATACCTAACTGAGGAATATGGCATGAGTATAACCAAAATAGTTTTCAAATTAAATGTTTATGTAAAAAAAAGTTGAAGAAAATTGGGTAATATGAAGAGTGAAAGTAAACAACTAAAACACACTCTGAAGTGTGGTAAAATAATCAGGTATTGTAAGAAACATTGTATAAAATATGTAATGATGTATTAAAAAGTTTATTAAAAGTATATTTAGTCATGAAGAAAATCACTAGGGTTACTCAAGTACATTCGTTTTTTTAGATCAAATTCTTAGTTTTTAATAAGTATCATTTATTTCTACATTTTACATTGTAATGTTATTAAAGGAAGTATTTAACACATCACACTGTACATTCTATTAACTTACATTAGATGAAAATTATGTGGAAACTATAATATATTAGTTGATATAGTGACCTATCCACATGTAGCTGTATTACCATTGGTACACCATATATAGTTGCAGTATTTTTATATTGGAAGTAAGTAATGTTTTAAAGATTTTAAGCTGGGAAATATCTTCATTTTGATAACTAAGTATAGTTTCTTACATATATTCTTTGCATTTATGATATAATTCTTGTTGAAGCTATATATTTGTTTTGTAGTTTTAATGTTGACTAAATATTAATTTACATTGTGAGAATTAATGATCAGATATCAGGTTTTACAATCTTGTAACTAATAAAGTATTACACCTTCAACATTTTATTTGGTTTAAAAGACTTTTGAAAGAGAAATAAAAGATTAGGTACTGTAGAAAAGGTGAAAGTTTGCTTACTCTGTAAACAGCAATGGAAAAGAAGACTGGCTGTAGTTTAACTTTATTGTAAAGCAGTTGGACTTTTTGAACCATTTCATATCTGTGCATCTGGTGATTTTAAAATTACTAGACAATCTAGTTATGCCATATGATTTTAGGCCTTGCATCTGTAACTGATCTCACTGTGTTCTTTAAGGTAAAATCCTAGTTTCTATTGTACTTAATATAGCCTCTTTTACACCTAGATATTTTTTTGGTTGATTCATTATTTCAATCAAGGAAAGTTAATGTTATTTATCAAATTAAACTTGGTCTGAAGAATAACCAAACTTCTTTCAAGAAAAAATGTTATTTCTTATTTTAGTTTATCCTGTAAGATGGTGTTTAATAACAAATGTTTTAATATACATTTTCACTTCTTTAGACATCCAAAATAATGTTTGCAAAGAATGCATATGAATAGATATTTTCTGGTGGGTACTGTTGATGTATGTTTTATTGTTCTTTCAAATCTGCAAAAGTTGCTCATTATCCACCAAATAAGGCTGTATCCAGTTTTGGATATTGTATAACTATGTTTCTTTCATTAATTACAAAAATATATTTTGAATTTACTTCCAATAAGAGATTTTTTATCTAGCTTCTTGAGAAAGCCTTATTTGTAATCCAGAAAGACATCAAATTTTAACATAGAAATTGTATATTTGCCTTCAATAATCACAGGAACTTTCTAACACTGACTGCTATGGTGTATTGTCTGTTGCAGTGTAAGTTCAAGTCTATGTTCATTATATTGAGCATGTGTGTAAATGTCAGAATAACTAAGAAAAATTATGTTTGTTAGAGTTTTTGAAAGTTTCTTAGAAAAATAGATTAAAAAACTAGCATAGAAGGAGTTGTTACACATAAAACTTTCTTCAGGTTTGAAATATAAATTTGGACTGAAATAATATTTGGCATCCTCATTTTCTTCATGAGGGCAGTAGTGAAATAATCATACCTTGCAATGGTAACTTCCTATGTGTCCTAACTTTCTTCATGAGGGCAGTAGTAAAATAATCATACCTTGCAATGGTAACTTCCTATGTGTCCTAATTTTCTTCATGAGGGCAGTAGTAAAATAATCATACCTTGCAATGGTAACTTCCTATGTGTCCTAACTCTCTTCATGAGGGAAGTAATAAAATAATCATACCTTGCAATGGTAACTTCCTGTGCGTCCTAACTTTCTTCATGAGGGAAGTAATAAAATAATCATACCTTGCAACGGTAACTTCCTGCTGTCTCAAGCACAACTAAATGTGCTAGTCATAATGAAGTTATACTTCAGGCGTTGACTTTGTAAATGTTTTGTAAAAACACACAAGTGCTAATTAGAGAGAAATGCTGTAATTTGACAGTAATCCAGGTAATACATATATGATATCAGTAATGTATTCTGTAAAACATTTTAATAGTTGTGGTGATCTTCCAGTGTGGAAAAGTATTTTTATTGATTGTAAATGATAAAACTAAATACTTTACCTTGTGTGTATACACTTGTATATACAACATTTATGACAAACTATTAAGTGGTGGTTATAGAAAAATATAACTGAACTAAAGTTTGAATATTGTGGTAAAGTAGACATTTTGGTAATTGTGCCTTATTCCTTTTTGATGTATTATATACTATTAGTTAATATGCATTCCAATTGGTTTTTCATTATGTTGGCATGTATATTTTTTTTTATCTTTTTTTATCTCATGTTAAGGGACAATCAAAGAAATTTTGTATTGATTTAATTATTATTTCTTTTTTAATTGGCTGGTTTAATTTACTGTATTAAGAAAATAGTGCATATCATATTACTGCATAGTTGACATGTAAAATTCTACTTCATAAAAGAAAATTATTTTTTTTGTATATCACTTATTTCCTCATTTAAGTATAATATAATGGCATTTGTCAAGTAAAAATTCTAAAAAATTAACCTTGGTTTTGAAAACTATAATATGGGCTTCAGCTTAATTCTTTGTTAGTTTTTTTATATGAGTATAAATGTGATGTGATCTAAAAAAATAAAATTCCCCAGTAAATATGCCCATTAGTGAAAAGCATAGCCTTCATTACCAAATGTGTTTGCCAGGTAATTTTTGGTTTTATCAGGAACAAAAATAGAAATTAATTATTTGAATGAAAGTATATTGTTTTAAAAGTAAACTACTTGTTAATAAAATTGTGTCTTTAACAATATCTCAGGGCATGTTTATTTTGTAACTTCATTAGTAAATTGTAGGTAGAGTTCTGATTTAATATAATCCTATCATGACTAGGTTTAAAAACAAAACGTATATTAAATTATGTATCCACAACTAAAAAACTTTTTATGCAGTAAATTAAGATAGTTATCTCCAAATGATTGTTTTATTAAGCAAAATTTAGGAAGTATTTTTAAAATTAAGAATTTTTAGTACAATATAGAATTAATCATTCCATCAATATAATTGTTTTACTGTGTAGGTATAATATGAAGTTATTTTTTGTTTAAAATGAAATCCATATATTTGAACTTATGTTTTATTATGTGTGTATGTGTATCTTTGCTGTGAATTGTACATAAACATTACTTGTTAGTAATTGTTGATTCTACATTATGACTAGTGCCAACACTTATTGTTTTATGACACTAGTTTTATTTCATCATCTTGTGATTACTCTTATTTAATTTTGATTGACGTTCACATTGTTCTATGTCTTTATTATTTTTAAAGAGGATTATATTACTCAAATTATTTATGCTATGAAATAATTTGTACTGTTATTCTAAAGTACAATTTGCCTATGAACTGGAAAACCTAAAATATTAAAGCTTCAAATTGTTTTAAAATACCACTACAATCATACAAATTGACATTTTGGCCTGTTTATTTCTTTTTCTATATATATATATATATTGTTAATATGTATGTTCTATTGGAGTTTTGAGGTAACTTCAGAAATTTTGGTTTTTTAACTACGATTATGAATGTTTTTGTTTAGCTTTTTTTCCTGCAGTTTTTATTGATTTCTTTAATTCTGTTTGTGGAAGGGTGAAACATCTTTCTGAAAAACCTGTAAAAATTGTATATATAAAAATAGGCTTTCATAAACAGTTTACAGACAGTAATATCTTAAAAGTATCAAAGAACTCAACTAGTAGCACTATTGCTGCCTGTTTTCTTAACTGCTGTTAGTATAATAAAGTATAATTATGAGAAAAAACTTTAAAGGTAATATGAATTTCTTTATATCTTAAACCATATTTTCTATTTCAATTTCATATGAATATAGTTTTGAGTAAACCATTGAACAAAAACATTTGAGATGGAGCGACCATATTTTAGGATGTTTGTGTTTGTTAAATTCCAAAAAATAGAACATACTCTGAGAAACTAATACTTTTATTCTAATCTTAAAAAGTGTCAGCTATTTTACAGAAGGTTATTCTCGTGAAACTGAAAATTATTAGTATTTTGGCACTTGTGTATAAAGTTAAAATCATAAATAATATTCAATGTTAAACTGGTACACAGTTAAAAACACTTTATTTAGGCCTATCTATGGCCTTCAAAAAGTTGACGACTATACATGTTTTGACGTTACAACGGATGAAGGCCATAGATAGGCCTAAATAAAATGCTTTTAACTGTGTACCAGTTTAATGTTGAATATTATTTATGATTTTAACTGAAAATTATTTATTATATTTTATAGTGTGTAATTTTCCTGTAATTGACAACCATTCTGTATCTTTGCTTTCACAACTGTACTTATAGTCATGTGCTTTTCTAGGAACCTTATCATTGTAAGTCCTCTTTCATGTTGTAGAAATTCATACCATGTGCCAACACTGTTTATTGTAACTGCAATAAGTGTAAAAGAAAAAAAAACTGGAAGGAAAAAAAAATCATTCCATTGTTTTGACTCCTGTGTAATATAAGTTACTGTTGTTGAGAAGTTACTTGTTAATACAAGAAGTAATTTTTAATATAATACTGGTGGAATTTCAAATTGAAATTATATACAAGGATTACATCCAACAGAAAATTGTCCTCGATCAGAATGTGTTATTCAGTGGGTATCTAGGTTTATGTGCCATTCCATTGTAAAACCAGATAAAACTAAAGAAATATTGAGTTGATTGATTGAAAGCAGACATTATGTAGAAGCCACAAATATTTTATTAGATGATGCTACTATAAGTCAAAACCAAGTACCAAGACATACATTTATTCCAAAGTAAGTACAAGATTTTTTGCAATACTGGTTTTTTTTGGAATATTAATACATATGTATTGAAACTTCCTGTAGTAGCCCTTGTAATTTTAGTATTTTATTGAAAGTACTAATCCAGTTCTTTATAAATTATTAACTATCTACCAGTTTAATTATGGGGACTGTTAGATATTTTTTATTAATTGGTATAGGTTTTTCAAATAATTTAAGTTTTTTATGCAGTAATTCATCTACACAGGTCATTAATTGTAAGTAGGGTTAGAAAATTTTATAACATAATGACAGATTGTTTTGTTTTTTTGTATATTCACTTCCACCTTGTTTATTAGGTTTATTGTTAGAAATGAAATGTTATAAAAATAAGTGCACAGTTTAAAAAATATTTTTGTGATATGGGCTCAAATAAAAAATAATGTATAATGCAATTAAGTTTGTCTCTGCTGTAGTCTCACTTTATCTGACATTACCTTTAGTCCACATTTATGTGGTTTGGCCAGGTGAAACTGAATTAACTTCACTGTAGGATATTTAATCAAGATATCTATTATGAAGAATGCTAAATCTTCGAATAACTGAGTCGTGAGAAGGAATGAAATAATGAGATTGGACACAAAGTAAAACAAGAAATGAACAATATTTATTATATCACAATATGTGTACTTCCTTTATTTGCAAGGTACAATTGCTCTTGTTGGATCTTTCATCTTCAACTAATTAGGCTGAATCCATGTACCAGGTTATTTAAATATGAAATTCCTTAATTCATAAGAGACGTAGTATTTATCTAAAGCAACTAGCACTACCCACGTACTGGTCATTTTCATTCAAACATAGATGAAGCCTTAACCTTAAAATATCACCTGAGCTACCTTTGAAAGGCACTGCTGACAACATACTTGCACAATATGCAGTATTGCAGCAGAACCCTCTGTGGGCAGAACAGGAAATCAACTTAGGCCTTCACAACCATATTTTCTGTGAAACCTGCACACGTACAGAATAAATTATAAATTTAGAATAATAACTATAGTATTACAAGAAGACAGAAATGTATAATGTATTCATATATGTCTCTAATCCTCTCCCTTAGTTTAAAGCTGAACCAAAGCCAATAATTAATTTTAACTGGAAACCAATAAATTTTAAACTTGCACTGTTTGAGGAGTATGCTAACTGTCACTCCTGAAAGCATATACATGTCATACAGATGTCACAGCACTTTAACAAAGAAATACAGTAAATACTCAACTCTTTATCAATGAAACTCGTATTACATCATCACACTTTTCAAAAAACCCTTTCACATAAAAAATACCGTACATCAGGAAAAACCCTTTAATACGGATGCAAGCACACACTCCAAAACCCTGTAAAAAAGTTAAGTAACAAAATTTTGAACCTAGCCTTTTAACAATGATAAAATACACCACAATACCCTTCAACATGGAAATAACCAAATCTCTATTTTCTTTAAAATCACACATGATATTCTTTTGCAAAAATAAAACATGAATCAAGAATACTATACAAGATTAAAAGCCCTTTACATTAAAACCATAGTACATAATAGATAAAAAAAAAGAATCCATTTAACATTGTTAACATAAAAACCTTGAATGTAGGTTAACTTGAAACAATACAAAATGAAAATATTCAGTGGACCCTTTACACTCAGATACAGAAAAGTTAAAGTCAAACCATTCATAAAGGACATAGCAAGAAATATACACACACATACACTAGTTGACCATTCTTCTAGAGCCTATTTATCCATTCACACACTTGTGCCTGATCTGAGCTGCAATTGGAAATTACGTTTATCACTTGATGTGTCAGATGATCCTTGCAGCACTAGAAATTACTGGGTTAAGCATATTTGCAGTGAGTGTAATAGATGTGGGGAAAGGGAAAGATTTTGCAGGGTTGAAAGGAGGCATGTTAGTAGGTGCACATCTAGCAGGTGCCAGAATGGCCAAGACTGTTTCACTGGTAGGCTGCTCCAAGATATCGATCATTCAAGTTCATCAGCAATGCTACAATGGGGAAATGTGTCTGCAAACATCTAGTGAAGGAAAGAAGAGAATGGTAGTTGGATAGGATGGAAGACTCCAACTGTAATCAAACAGTAGATCAACTAACAGATATTTGTGGTTGTACCTTGGACAAAATGGAATGTAGCAGTGAAGACCAGTGCATAAACCTCAGGATTCAGTTACCAATAAGAAAAAAGTGGTGTAAAAAGCATGGATGTTGGATTAATAAGTACTGGTTAAAGATGATGCAGTCCAGTGAATAACATTGGACTTCTTTTTTTTTTTTACAGTTGAGACAAGAACAAATTTAAAAACTATAAAAATAACTTAACCCCTCTTGTGTGATCCCAACTGTCCAGGGTTTTACACTGACATGGTGATTAGGGTGGTCGACTCACAATCTGCAGAGCACAGCTGTGAATCCTCATCATTGAACATACTTGCCCTTTCGATTCCACTATTAATTGGTAAAAGAGTAGCCTAAGGGTTGATGGTGGTGGTTTTGACTAGCTGCTTTCTCTCTAGTCTTATCACTATTAAATTAGGAACAATTAGTGCAGATAGCCCTCAACTTGCTTTGCACATGATTCAAAATGAAGAAACCCAACTGTTAAGGTAATTTTGCTTTCTATGAGGACCAAAGAGCCCAGAGTATGCAAAAAAAAACTTGCCTTAAACCATGATTCCACCACTAGAGACCTGTATGCACTTGATCACAAATGCATCCAGAAATTTCAAGAATCTCCTATTGTCACCACAATTCCCACTGCCTAACTCATTTGAGCATCTTTGGGATAAATTGAAAGATACATTCATCATAATCTTGTACATCTCTCAATTCATGAATTGCATACAATATTAATGAATTAATGGGTAAAAAAGCTTCAAGACACGTTTCAGCACCTTGTAGATTCTATGCCGCATCATATCATGGCTGTTATTTGGGTCATAGGTGGCCAGTTAGTGTATATACAAAACTTTTACTTGAATTAATAATGTGAAAGTTATACATCACTTTAGGAAAAAAATCCATCATTAATTTAGATACTTTCATCTTATCCTTTCACTGCTTGATTAAAAAAAAAGTACTTACAATGATTCTGCTATCTCACAATCTGGAGTTTTCTATTATTAAATCTCTTGTTTTGGGAAACCTTCTTGATTGCTACTAACTTTCTAGTTGAACATAGTAAACACCACCAAAAGAGCCACTTCAAATAATATCAGTATTGGTGCAAGACACTTCCTGTAGTCTGTCAGATTCCTAGCCTACATTTGCCAAACTTTAGTCACCTCTGCTCTACATCTTTCCCTTCTACAACTTCTGGAGCTTCATACGAATTCAGCTTATTGGAGAGTCCTGCCAACAGAATGCCCTCAACTACATGCTCCAATTTAGCTGCAATCAGCCCAAATGTTTCCAGAAGTTTTCTTTCTTACTTCATGATATTCTTCAATATCATGAATTATGTGTATCCTTCCATAATAACTGGAATAAAACTTAAGCACAAGAGAATGGCACCCTGGGTAGCTGAAAAACAAGACTGCCAGAAGTCAAGAATTTCACCTGACTTAGTAAAAGTCTACGTTGGAAACATAATGTCAGATGAATTCCAATTGGTCTGAAATTCA